AGTTAGGTTAGGTTAGGTTAGGTTAGGTTAGGTTAAGTTAAGTTAAGTTAAGTTAAGTTAAGTTAAGTTAAGTTAAGTTAAGTTAAGTTAAGTTAAGTTAAGTTAGGCTAGGTTAGGTTAGGTTAGGTTAGGTTAGGTTAAGTTAGGTTAAGTTAGGTTAGGTTAGGTTAGGTTAGGTTAGGTTAGGTTAGGTTAGGTTAGGTTAGGTTAGGTTAGGTTAGGTTAGGTTAGGTTAGGTTAAGTTAGGTTAGGTTAGGTTAGGTTAGGTTAGGTTAGGTTAGGTTAGGTTAGGTTAGGTTAGGTTAGGTTAGGTTAAGTTAAGTTAAGTTAAGTTAGGTTAAGTTAAGTTAAGTTAGGTTAGGTTAGGTTAGGTTAGGTTAGGTTAGGTTAGGTTAGGTTAGGTTAGGTTAGGTTAGGTTAGGTTAGGTTAGGTTAGGTTGGGTTGGTTCGGTTAGGTTAGGTTAGGTTAGGTTAGGTTAGGTTAGGTTAGGTTAAGTTAAGTTAAGTTAAGTTAAGTTAAGTTAAGTTAAGTTAAGTTAAGTTAAGTTAAGTTAGGCTAGGTTAGGTTAGGTTAGGTTAGGTTAGGTTAAGTTAGGTTAAGTTAGGTTAGGTTAGGTTAGGTTAGGTTAGGTTAGGTTAGGTTAGGTTAGGTTAGGTTAGGTTAAGTTAAGTTAAGTTAAGTTAGGTTAAGTTAAGTTAAGTTAGGTTAGGTTAGATTCATTAGGAAACAGGAGAAGTATTTCCAGACGCGGGTCTTAGTTATATCATGACCCTCAACCCTGGATTTTTTGGGTCATCTCGAGCCCCTTCTGCGGCTTAAAAAATCCACCCCTTAAAAAAATTACGTTTAAATTTATTATTAGGGGAGGGAGGAAATAGATATTTTTTACGTTTTTTGGGAGGGACATGTCGGGCAGAAAGGCCCAAACCAAAGGGAAGGGGTGAACCAAAAATTTGACGGGGGGGGGGAATTTACAGTCTTGTATTGAGGTGAAAAAATAAAGGGAAAATGAAATTAGAGTACAGTGATCCCCAACACTGTGATTGTGAGATAGGGTTTTAAACGTTGCGGGCGAGGAGAGCAAGGGAAAGCCCATAAAGGGGGGAATTACCACATACCCCCTGGCGGGTTCTTCAAGGGGAGCTGGACAACACATAATCCCAGTACCTGGCCAGCCGGGGCTGGGGTTTTCCCTACGTGGGGTTAAACGGGGGGGCCCACAGTAACAAACGGGTTGGGAATCAGGCTCTGATTCACCAGGAGGCCTGGTCATGGACCGCCCCGGGGGGCGTTGACCCCCGGGAAACCCCCCTCCAGGTATAGTGCAGATGTCGACAACAATGGGGTTGTGTAAATATTAAAACAGAGAATTCAGACTGAGGCATTAAACTTTTTAGGTTACCACAAAAATTATTATTCCCGAAAATAGGTGGGACATTTAAGATGATGGAACAAAACAAATGAACGAGAAAAAACCCTACCCCGGCAGGGATTGAACCCGCGGTTTAGGGGTATGGGTTTTTTGCAAACGTGTCATTAAAGATTTCGTGAGGGCAGGAAAGAACGAGAGTAATTTTAAAATTTGTGACAAGCTTAAGCAAGGTAACTTTAATCCAAAAGTTCAAGGGAAAACAGTTAGAAGGACTTGAAATCCGGGGGTACAGGCAGTATGCCTGTACTCTGAAGGAGGCAGTGGGGGGGGCCTATATTTTTGGGGTCCTAAAATTTTTGTGTTTTGGGGGCCCCTCGCACCCCTTCAAAAAACAAGATCCAAAATTTTTTTAAACAAAGGGCCTATTTGCACGTTAAGAGACCATACCCAAAAATTTTCAAAAGGGGGGCCCAGACCCGTTTTAACGCCCCCAGCACACATAAAGGGGGTTACCAAAAAACCCCTGGAAATCCCTTAAGCTGGCACTGGACAAGCACCTAAAATCGGTTTTCCCGACCAGCTGGCTGTGGGGTCGTCTTTGGGTTTTTCGTGCGCCAGCCCAAAACCGCCTGTTTTACAGGCTCTGATCCACCCCGGAGGCCTGGTCCCCAAAACCCCCGGGGGCCCCGGGGGGGTTTGACCCCCGGAACCCCCTCCCGGAAACTCCGGTTTAAATGGGGTTTTTGGGGCCCCTCCGGGATTAGGGGTCCTAAAGCATAAACTTAATTAATCATTTAAAATGTGATGTCACAGCATTTCTGGCAAGACAGCTATTGAGTGAATGATGGTTCATCTACTTCCCTTTTTATCCCCTACCTCGGTAGGAGACGACCGGTGCGATAAAAGACAATAAAAGCAGGAAAAAAAAATTCAAATTATCTAAGTGTCCCCTTGAACGAAATTCTTCGCTTCGCCAGGTAGAAAAAACGGACGAAATGCAAGAAATCTATACAGTGCACCCTTCTTTTGTGGCCAGAGACGTCATAAAAGCGAGTAATCAGGGTGAGAACATTGATTTTGGGACCCCAGGGATCATGTCTAGTGGTAATCCATAGGATTAGCATTCTCCAGAACCAGTGAAGACTACGGCGGGTTAGAACTGGAGTGTGTTAGACCGAAGAGGAGAGCGAGGACGAGGACGAGGGCGAGGACGAGGAGGGCGAGGACGAGGAGGGAGAGGGCCAGGAGGGCGAGGAGGACGAGGAGGGCGAGAACGAGGAGGACGAGGAGGGCGAGGAGGACGAGGATGGCGAGAACGAGGAGGACGTGGAGGGCGAGGAGGACGAGGAGGGCGAGGACGAGGACGAGGAGGGCGAGGAGGACGAGGAGGGCGAGAACGAGGACGTGGAGTAGGAGAAGACGAAGAACAAAAAGGACAAGACGCAGAGTGAAAGTTTGGTTAATGGCGTTTCAAGACTACTACCGAGGGTCATTAAGACTGCATGACCCATCACCCCCAAAAATAAATAAACCCAAAAAACTAATAAACTCCCCAGAATATAATACAATTTTATAACCTTGGGGAGAAAATCCCTCATTAATTTTCCCTGTATAAAGGCACCCCCTTTCGGGAAAAACGCCTATTTAGTTGAAAAATAATATTGGCTCGGAGAAAAAAGTTGTCTATAAGGTATCAGTCCCTAGTAGGGACACAAAAATATTTTTGGGGTTTTTTTGGAAAATTTATCCTGGACAAATAACCGGATGCAATTTGATATGCCAGCAGGGGATGTGGCCTCTCAGTGTTCCCTCTATTTTTTGATACATGGCCCAAGGGCCCTATGTTCTTACATAATAAAAATCGGAGTGTGGGTTATTTATGATAAAAAATAGATATTTGGGCTTTTCTTGCGCCTTTATCGATTTTTTAAAAGAATGAAGATAAAGTCATGCAGAAAAAAACGCTCTATGTAGGCTTGTTAGTCCATAGCTGTTAAAACCCTTGTGGGCTATATAGCCCCCTGGGATGAAAAGTCTCACGTGGGCATATAGCCCCATGGGGATGAAAGGTCTCACTGGGGGATATAGTCCCACTGTGGATAATAAAGTCTCACTATGGGCTATTAGCCCCATGTAGATGATAAAGTCTCACTGGGGGATATAGCCCACTGTGGATAATAAAGTTACTAGGGCATATACCCCCACTTTTTAAGATAAAGTTCACTGTGGGCTTTAACCCCCATGTGGATAAAAAATTACTATGGCTTATAGCCCCTGGGGGTTTATAAAGTCTCACGTGGGTATATAGCCCACTGTGGATAATAAAGTCTCACGTGGGCTATACCCCCCACGTACAGAGAACTTTCCGGCGCGCATACGGAGATAAAACACCTAATTATGGGAGGCTTGGGGTTTCTAAAACCTTACCCTGGAACGCGGAGGGAAGATACTGATTATATACACCGGGAAAATCCTGAGGGACTGCCCGAATTTCAACGAAATCACCCCCCCACTACGAAAGAAAAAGTTTGGGCAGACAAAGCACCATCCCCCCTTAAAAGCAGGGGTCACTAAAAAGGGAAAAGAGACCAACAAAAGTGTCAGGGGCCCGGGTGTTCACTGCCTCCAGCACCTAAGGGGGGATTACCAACACCCCCGGGCAGTCTTAAGCTGGCACTGGAAAAGCCCCAAAATCGTTCCTGATCCCGGTTGGCTGTACTTGGTTTCGTGCAGCCAGCGCAAAAAGCCTGGTTTTCAGGCGCGACCCCCAGGGGGCCCGGCACAGCCCCCGGCGCGGGGGGGTTGACCCCCCAAACCCTCCCGGGAAACCCAGGAAACTGGGATAAAAAAGTCTCACTTGGGCTAATACCCCCGTGGGAAAAAAAGTCTCCTGTGGGTTTTTAAAAGCCCCCCTGTGGATAATAAAAATCTCCGGGGTATATAGCCCCCGGGTGATAAGTCTCACTGTGGGGTAATTTGCCCCACGTGGATAATAAAGCTCATGTGGGCTATATAGCCCCACTGTGGAAATAAATCCACTTGGGCATATAGCCCCCCCTGTGGAGATAAAGTCTATTGGGGCTATATACCCCCCTGTATGATAAAATCTCACTGGGGCATAAGCCCCATGTGGATGATAAAGTCCACTGTGGGCTTTAGCCCCCCTGTGGATAATAAAGTCTCCTGTGGGGTATATGCCCCTGGTTAAAAAAGTCTCCTGTGGGCTATATAGCCCCACTGTGGATAATAAAGTCTCACTGTGGGCTATATAGCCCCACTGTGGATGATAAAGTCTCACTGTGGGCTATATAGCCCCACTGTGGATGATAAAGTCTCACTGTGGGTGTTAATCCTTAAGGCTTACCTTGATACTGTTACATACATAATGAAGGCTTACCTTGATACTGTTACGTACATAATGAAGGCTTACCTTGATACTGTTACATACATAATGAAGGCTTACCTTGATAAATGTTACTACATAAGAAGGCTTACCTTGATACTGTTACGTACATAATGAAGGCTTACCTTGATACTGTTACGTACATAATGAAGGCTTACCTTGATACTGTTACGTACATAATGAAGGCTTACCTTGATACTGTTACGTACATAATGAAGGCTTACCTTGATCATCTACGTCAAGGTTCCTCATCATCCAGGCGATGAGATCAACACCTGTGAAGACGCTAGGAATCTTAGTGATAAAGCTCTTGACCGTCTTGACGGGAACACCTGTGTCTTCTTGTTGCATCTGTTCCACGATCCTCTCCATCTGTAACAGTGGAAGAAGCTGAGATACCTGTGTAATGAGACACCTGTGTCTTCTTGTTGCATCTGTTCCACGAACCTCTCCATCTGTAACAGTGGAAGAAGCTGAGATACCTGTGTAATGAGACACCTGTGTCTTCTTGTTGCATCTGTTCCACGAACCTCTCCATCTGTAACAGTGGAAGAAGCTGAGATACCTGTGTAATGAGACACCTGTGTCTTCTTGTTGCATCTGTTCCACGAACCTCTCCATCTGTAACAGTGGAAGAAGCTGAGATACCTGTGTAATGAGACACCTGTGTCTTCTTGTTGCATCTGTTCCACGAACCTCTCCATCTGTAACAGTGGAAGAAGCTGAGATACCTGTGTAATGAGACACCTGTGTCTTCTTGTTGCATCTGTTCCACGAACCTCTCCATCTGTAACAGTGGAAGAAGCTGAGATACCTGTGTAATGAGACACCTGTGTCTTCTTGTTGCATCTGTTCCACGAACCTCTCCATCTGTAACAGTGGAAGAAGCTGAGATACCTGTGTAATGAGACACCTGTGTCTTCTTGTTGCATCTGTTCCACGAACCTCTCCATCTGTAACAGTGGAAGAAGCTGAGATACCTGTGTAATGAGTCACCTGTGCAATCTCCGAGTACCTGTGTAATCTGAGTCACCTGTGTAATCTGCAAGGGGTGCTGCATTGGTTCTATCTGAAGAATAACTGGACATAAGCTAAATTCAGTGTAGGCAAATGGTACAGAGACCCGACTAGTTAATAAATTAAGACACAATGTGCAGCACTTGGGGATCTTTCGATGGGGTGATTACATCGACTCCAGGCTGAGGGACTGATTATCTCAAACTCCTTCTGATCTTCACCACTCTTCCTATTGGACTGATGAAGCCAGTGTGGAGAAACGTGTCCACAATAAAGATAAGATAAAATAAGATAAGATTTCGTTCGGATTTTTAACCCCGGAGGGTTAGCCACCCATGATAACCCAAGAAAGTCAGTGCGTCATCGAGGACTGTCTAACTTATTTCCATTGGGGTCCTTAATCTTGTCCCCCAGGATGCGACCCACACCAGTCGACTAACACCCAGGTACCTATTTGCTGCTAGGTGAACAGGACAACAGGTGTAAGGAAACGTGTCGAATGTTTCCACCCGCCGGGAATCGAACCCGGGCTCTCCGTGTGTGAAGCGGGAGCTTTAGCCACCAGGCCACCGGGTCACCTCAAGATACCTAAAGATACCCAAGTGTTGTATACGAGGGAAAAGTTCAACAGATAGGAGTAACGAGCGAGTATATGGTGACGATAGTTTGATTGCCAGTCTGCTTGTTAAGGTAGGGTCAGTCTAGCTCCAGCTATCCCCCCCTACCCTTTTCTCCATCCCAAAAGGTGACGTGTGGGGCTCGGACCAAACAGTAATCACTTGACTCACGGCTTCCATCACAACTGTAAGTAAAAACCTCTGCTCCTATACTAGTGGATATATTGGTTGAAAGCTTCACTTTTGACCAATAATGAACTTAGTCCTTTCAGTGTTAAGTCCCAGGTTATGCTTGTGGACAATCACCACTTCTCTTAAATACTATACTTATGGAGAATGATTTCTTAAGCAGTGGGTAACTTTTGTCTCTTTCCAGCTTGGAATGACAGCTCGGGTCATCTGGCAACCAAAGAAAAGTGTTGAAGGAGACTGAAAGAGGCCATGAGACGGTCATTTTTATCTACCTACCTAATTACTTGCAGTAAACCACAGGCAACTACCCCTCATCTTCGCAGTGGTAAAGAACCTGCGTTCCTGTCATCTGGAAAGACTATTTAAGGCTATAGACTCTGTGAAGAACTACTCGATGGGTTATCACTCAACACCTGTGACCCCCACATCAACAGCTACAATTTCTACGAGACTGTCAACCTCAACCAGACAACCCAATATAACTGTACACATTAGCGTTGAATTCAAATGTCATTTTTCCATTTCATTTTTCTCTAAATTAGGATACACATTCATGTTTCAATGTTTTATCTTTGCACTACTAAATAATAGTGTTTATCTTCGTGAATCATTTCTTTTTCTATTCATTAATTTTCCTGAGGAGGAGCCAGCCATGATAATACTGACTGAAGTTGTTACAGGGCTGAGTAAGCCTTCGCAGTACGTTAATAATAATATCCACACTGGGGCAACAGCAGGTGGGACAGATAGGTTATAGTTATGAAGTGGGTGGTATTTGTGCAATATATCCAGAAAAGAAGGGAAAGTACTTTCAAGGACTGGTAAAACCATGAATGTAAGAATTATAGGGGAATAAGAGTGAATGGAGACAAATGGTTTTTAATACTTGACGTGCTGTTGGAGTGTGAGCAAAGTAACATTTATGAAGGGGTTCAGGGAAACCGGCAGGCCGGACTTGAGTCCTGGAGATGGGAAGTACAGTGCCTGCACTCTGAAGGAGGGGTGTTAATGTTGCAGTTTAAAAACTGTAGTGTAAAGCACCCTTCTGGCAAGACAGTGATGGAGTGAATGATGGTGAAAGTTTCTTTTTCGGGCCACCCTGCCTTGGTGGGAATCGGCCAGTGTGATAATAATAATAAAAAAAGAATATTGGGTATACGTACAAGGTAAACTGAATGATAAAATTATTGAGAGTTGGGGGTAAGACAGAGTTGGCTTGCAGAGGAACGAGGATGATTTAAGAAGAATCTGGGATGTGGAATCTAAGCTTATATTAAAGTAAACTATCTTGATAGAAGGCGACTGTGTTAAAAATATAATATTGATTATGAACTTAAATACAGCTCGCAATAAACGAGTGTTAATAAATAAACAGATGGATGGACGGGGTAGCAGCTACAGGTTCAGCACCTGCAGCCACAGGTTCAGCACCTGCAGCCACAGGTTCAGCACCTGCAGCCACAGGTTCAGCACCTGCAGCCACAGGTTCAGCACCTGCAGCCACAGGTTCAGCACCTGCAGGTACAGGTTCAGCACCTGCAGCCACAGGTTCAGCACCTGCAGCTACAGGTCCAGCACCTGCAGCCACAGGTTCAGCACCTGCAGCCACAGGTCCAACCCCAGCAGCCACAGGTCCAGCATCTAGCAGCCCAGTGGTAAATCGCTGGACTTGCAACCACCAGGGCCACGGTTCGACTTTACATCCCTGTCCATCCTTCTCCATATTCAACAATGGACGACTTGAGAGGGGTAACTAACCCGTCTGTAGACGATGTGGTTCGGAGTTTCCTCCACTGGCCCCGCAGCTCCTGTATTTGCCTGTCCATTATTATTCTCTGCTTTCTTCCGCACACCCACGCGCTCTGTCGACATGCTTACCATGCCTCACTCGGCCATAGTAACCTGCAATTTTAGATAGTATCTTTATCTCTACTAGTACAAGGTATACAGATCATAGCTGACATCAATGACATACTACTATATAGATAGTCCCTTGTTATGCTGAGCATTTCCCGCAAATTAGGTCAGTTTTGTCCCAGGATGTGACCCACACCAGTCCACTAACACCCAGGATGTGACCCACACCAGTCCACTAACACCCAGGATGTGACCCACACCAGTCCACTAATACCCAGGATGTGACCCACACCAGTCCACTAACACCCAGGATGTGACCCACACTAGTCCACTAACACCCAGGATGCCACCCACACCAGTCCACTAACACCCAGGATGCCACCCACACCAGTCCACTAACACCCAGGATGCCACCCACACCAGTCCACTAACACCCAGGATGCCACCCACACCAGTTGTCTACACATATGCTGCTATGTATGATAATCTATGTATTTGTGTATACCTGAATAAACTTACACAATAAAACGTGTGATTGTAAATAAGAAAAAAAAAATTACCAGTGTAAATAGGAAATAAAATCTGAGCGATTTCATGTGTGATAACTGTAGGCATGTGAACCTATGCCTAAATAAATTTACTAAAAGCTATGAAGCAGCGATAGACACATGCCTCTTAGTATACCTTAACATGAAACTGTGTACGTAATACCTGCCTTCCTGTGAGAAGCTGTCTCTACCAAGGAGTTTGACACCGTCTCACAAGTGGCTTCTACAACACTATAGTCAATATCAATCACAAATTACCTGATTATTGGTCATGGGAACGCCTATTAACCGTAACTATCCCTGATTTTCCCAACCCAGTATTGTGGCCACGTGACAAGGGGTTAAATACAGAAAAAAATATCACCATCGGGTCTGGAGAAGACTTGCATCCATATTATTATTATAATCAAGGGGGAAGCACTAAACCCGTAGGATTATACAGCGCCTATGGGGGGATGGAAGGCATTCAGGCTTAATTCAGGGAACTGGAGCACAGATCCAATTCCCTAGATCAAGAGCCCCTCACCAGCGTCAAGGAGCCTTCCTTGAGGGGACTTGCATCCATAGATTCGTAGGGAAGGTCTCTGTTGAACGATGTTTACTGCCAGGTAACATTGGGAAACAGTGTGGGACTCATAAAATGGAAATTTGTAAGTAAATACTCTAATCTTGTTGAGAATTATTATTACAATTAAGGGGGAAGCGCTAAACCCGGAGGATTATACAGCGCCTGGGGGGGGGATGTGGAAGGCATTCAGGCTTAATTTGGGGAACTGGAGCACAGATCCAATTCCCTAAATCAAGAGCCCCTCACCAACATCAAGGAACCTTCCTTGAGGGGATCTTGTTGAGAAGATGGCTACCAGTATCCTCTCCCTCTAGTTCACTGCACGACCGCTAGGTGTCTCTACTAATTTGTAACTAATGTAATCATATTAAAGCCTAAAACTACATATTTTGGTTCTATTATTAGTTCTTAATTCTTCCGAAAATCTGTAATCAATCAAATTAGTGTAAATACAACAATAATGTGTTCATTCATGATTTCCACTCCATATTTTGTCGGCATGGATTCTAAGGGCCTCTACTGCTTGTTACAATGGTCCGGTGGGATGTTTTGGAAGATAAGATAAGATAAGATTTCGTTCGGATTTTTAACCCCGGAGGGTTAGCCACCCAGGATAACCCAAGAAAGTCAGTGCGTCATCGAGGACTGTCTAACTTATTTCCATTGTGGTCCTTAATCTTGTCCCCCAGGATGCGACCCACACAAGTCGACTAACACCCAGGTACCTATTTGCTGCTAGGTGAACAGGACAATAGGTGTAAGGAAACGTGTCGGAATTTCCACCCGCTGGGAATCGAACCCGGGCCCTCCGTGTGTGAAGCGGGAGCTTTAGCCACCAGGCCACCGGGCCACCACTCAATAAATTCCCACAATATGTCTATTTAGGTACAGGTACACATAAATGTGTAGTATTTATGTATACCTCTACATATTTTAACATGTGTAAATTGTCTAGGATAACTCAAAAAAGTGTCAAAGTGATTTATATTCATTTAGGTCCTTGTAATATGTATCGATCTTTCTAGGATGTCCATCACTAGACAGTTCGGTTACAACCGAAGGTACCAGGTTTCACACCCCTGGTTAGATGTATATTCAAGTCTCCTAACGCCTGCTGCCCCTGTTTATCTTGTAAATAGGTACCTGGGTCTCAGTTGACTGTTGTGGGTGGCATTCTGGGGAAGGACCCAAGTAACACAATTAGAATATGCCACACTACTTGTTTGCTGGAATTGTTATGGAGAAGTCATAAGTGAGCTTGAAAATCAACGAAAATCTTGGTTCAACAATGGCCATTATTAAAAAATCTCGAGTAATATATAATATAATATATCTTTATCAGTACAAGTGCATGTACAAAATATACAGTCGTAGCTGCCATCACTGACATACTTCTATATAGAAAGCCACTTGTTATGCTGAACATTTCATGCAAATGAGGTCAGTTTTGTCTCAGGATGTGACCCACACCAGTCCACTAACACCCAGGATGTGACCCACACCAGTCCACTAACACCCAGGATGTGACCCACACCAGTCCACTAACACCCAGGATGCCACCCACACCAGTCCACTAACACCCAGGATGCCACCCACACCAGTCCACTAACACCCAGGATGCCACCCACACCAGTCCACTAACACCCAGGATGCCACCCACACCAGTCCACTAACACCCAGGATGCCACCCACACCAGTCCACTAACACCCAGGATGCCACCCACACCAGTCCACTAACATCCAGGATGCCACCCACACCAGTTCACTAACACCCAGGTGCTTATTTTACTGATGGGTGAACATAGACAACCGGTGTCCAATGTTTCCACCCCTTCGCCGGGAATCGAACCCGGACCCTCACCGTTTGAAGCGAGAGCTTTTGCCACCAGGCCACGGGGCACAGTAAACAAAACAAGGTAAGTTATGGTAGCCCTATAAACCAACAACAAAATCTTGAGTAAACAAAACAAAGTTATGGTGGCCCTATAAACCAACAACAAAAACTTGAGTAAACAAAACAATGTAAGCTGTGATGGCCCTATAAACCAACAACAAAAACTTGAGTAAACAAAACAATGTAAGCTGTGATGGCCCTATAAACCAACAACAAAAACTTGAGTAAACAAAACAATGTAAGCTGTGATGGCCCTATAAACCAACAACAAAAACTTGAGTAAACAAAACAGTGTAAGCTGTGATGGCCCTATAAACCAACAACAAAAACTCAACCATCATTGCCGGGCAATTTGCAGTATTGACCACACTGATGGTAGTGAGATTACTAGACCTTACCACACCAATCTTACTCAGTGATCCTAATATTTCTGGTCTTTCTTCTTGCCCCAAGACTGGCGAGAAAGGGGAATAACAGGAGAGAGCAGAGAAGAGGACTGTACGTGTATAAGAACAGGTAAGACAGGATAAGAGGCCTATCTACTTTCGGTTTAAGAGTGATTTTTCTCCACATCAAGGTTAAAGATTTTATTTAGAATTAGAGAAAGTGCAAAGGTTTGCAACAAGAATAGTCCCAGAGCTGAGGGGTTAAGAGAATTCTACCTGACAACACTGGAGGACAGGAGGGACCGGGGGAGGGGTGAGAGACATGATAATGACATATAAAATACTGAGGAATTGACTTGGTGGATAGTGGACACAGCAACAAGGGGACACAGCAACAAGGGCACACAGCAACAAGGGGACACAGCAACAAGGGGACACAGCAACAAAGGGACACAGCAACAAGGGGACACAGAAACAAGGGGACACAGCAACAAAGGGACACAGCAACAAGGGGACACAGCAACAAGGGGACACAGCAACAAGGGCACACAGCAACAAGGGGACACAGCAACAAGGGGGGACAGCAACAAGGGAACACAGCATCAAGGGGACACAGCAACAAAGGGACACAGAAACAAGGGGACACAGAAACAAGGGGACACAGCAACAAAGGGACACAGCAACAAAGGGACACAGCATCAGGGGGGCACAGCAAGAAGGGGACACAACAACAAGGGGACACAGCAAGAAGGGGACACAGCAAGAAGGGGACACCGCAACAAAGGGACACAACAAAGGGACACAGCAACATGGGGACACAGCAACATGGGGACACAGCAACAAAGGGATACAGCAACAGGGGGAGACAGCAAGAAGGGGACACAGCAACAAAGGGACACAACAACAAGGGCACACAGCAACAAGGGGACACAGCAACAAGGGGACACAGCAACAAAGGGACACAACTGGAAGTTGAAGACTCAGGTGAGTCACAGGGATGTTAGGAAGTATTTCTTCAGTCACAGAGTTGTCAGAAAGTGGAATAGTCTGGAGAGTGATGTAGTGGAGGCAGGATCCATACATAGCTTTAAGAAGAGGTACGATGAAGCTCATGGGGCAGGGAGAGAGTAGACCTAGTAACGACTAGTGGAGAGGCGGGGCCAGGAGCTGTGAATCGATCCCAGCAGTCATAATTAGGTGAGTACACAAACACACATTAGAGATAAATTTTAATATATATATAGTCGTTAAGAGAACTTGTGGTGAGGAACGCTAAGGTTATTACCATCTTAGTTAGGATTCTGTCTGGTAATGATCAACTATTACGTGTTACAGTGTGTTGTTGAGTATAATCTCTTGGTCCATTATGTGGCAGTGACCTCCTATTCTCAGAGAGAGAGAGAGAGAGAGAGAGAGAAAGAAAGAGAGGCATCTAGGTATATATAAACTGAGAGATACACATCGCGGTGTATATACCTGGAGATATACACGTCTCATTGTACACATCCCTTAATCGGGTCTGTGTCAAAAGATACTCTTATTAACACAAGCATATGCGTGCCACAACAAGACTGTCTCAAACATCACGTATAGATGTAGCTGGAGGGTGTGGAGAGAGCCCTCTGCTTTACTTTCATGTATCCCTACTT